GCGACTGATGCGACCTATCGGTCGTATACGACGGATGCGACAAATGCGACAGATGCGATCGATCTTTTCCTAATTGGAATATGGCCCCCAAGCGGTCAGGGTCCATCTGGGTCATCCGGGTCCCACATTTCTCCCCAACTAAAATCCGAGTTCTAGGAGGGAGCGTAGATCTTCGATCAACTGGCCCATTTCCTCAGTTTTGAGCTGTCGAATATCACCAAACTTCAACGTATTGGTCCGGTAAATTTGAGCTGGTCCACCACACACGGAAAATACGTTGTAGACCTTTATGGAAGTGAGGTAGTAGTGCTTGGTGATTAAGTTCTGCAAGGCTCTCCGTTGTGCAGGGGTGCTATGGGTGAATATTAAGCCAATGTAATAGGCATAGACCAGGGTCTCGATTCGTTGCCGGTATTGTATAGCCAGAAATAAGAAAGGGTAGGTCAGGGTCAAACATGCGACGGGGTCTTGTAGCTCAGTAAAGGGTGGTGGAGTTACTACCACATTGACAGGCATGGGGTTAGTAATGTCATTTAGAATTTCTGATAAATTGTGCATTTTGTTGATCGATTTTTCTCATCTTCCTTTCCCGGTTCTGTGCGGTTTTATATTTAGTCATTTCTCTCAAGTTCCCCTACTTGTTCTCACACTTCGTTCGTGTGTTTTTCTCCCTTCTACTTTTTCCCACATTCCTTCTTTCTTTTTCCCTATATTATTATAAAACAAAAAAAGTTTTTTTTTTTTTCACTTTCTTCTATGACACCCAAATTGAATTGAGATTGTAGATGTACTAAATTCTGATTTTCATCTACTTTAGGACATTGTTAGGATCATCCTTTGGTCTAGAACTTCTATCTCCTAAGCCTCATTGTCAGTAGGTCGATCATAGTAATTTTTTAACAATCATATATTGATCAGTATCGTTAAAACTTTCCTATCAAGTGTCTGTATTTTGTAAACATTATTGGGAAATTTCTTATGCACATAGAAGGGGTCTTTCCATTTTGGTTCCAGTTTTCCACTTCTAGTGTCATCACTTGCAGCCTTGTACAGAAGAACTTTATCTCCTATGAACAATTCCAGCATTTTCTTGATTTTTGTATCATAATACTCTTTTTGTCATCATTAAGCATAGTGAATTCGTACGATAGTTTCTTCCTGAATTTTTGGTAGGTGCTCCAACAATATTATGACTTGTTCTATTTTTGTTTCCAATTCCCCATTACTGACAGGTTGCATTAGTTGTCAGGCTTCTCGATCATGCATGAGATAAAAGGATGTTATTCTTGTAGTCAAATGCCAGGTGGTCCTATACACAAACAACATGGCGGGGATGATGAGGTCCCAATCAGTGACATATTCTATAGATTTTGCTATCACATTACATAATGTTTTGTTGAATTGCTCTACTAATCCATTGGTTTGTAGGTGATATGGGGTAGTTAATAGGTGTCAAATTTGAAATTTTCTTACTGAAATAGGGTAGAGGGGTCTCCTTGCCTTATTCTTGCCTCTTCGTTGGCATGAGTTGCAGGTCCTAATGTATTGCTTGATATCTTCTAGCATTTTCGGCCAGTAATATATCTGTCGAATCTTATCATATACAGCTTCTACCCCGAAGTGTCCTCCTCATGAATGAGTATGTGCCATCATCAGTATCACATCAATTTCTTGTTCTTGCACTACTTTTAATAATCGACCAGGTTTGTTTTTATCCATCCTGTACAGTATTCCTTGCTCTAATTTTAGTGTCTTGCCGATTCTAATCACCTTTCTTCTTTGAGGCTCTTTTAGTCGTTCTGAGAGGCGATTGTCTTGTAGATATCATTTGACTTGTCGATACAATGTAGGTTCCATTTTCTTAAAGGCCAGGACACCAACTACCTGGACTGGATTTTCTTTTAACATCAGGTTTTAGGTTTGGCTTTTTAGTTGTTCTATTCCTTTCTATAAGCTATATTTCTAATTTGGCGTTAATTTAATTGGAGTCCCACAACCCGCTCCAACACATCCTAACCTTTCTTAAGTTCGTTAGGTCTGTAATGCATATTACTCTACTCTATTTTATCTAAAGGGAAAACTATTATATCCTTTTATTATTATTATTATTATTATTATTGTTCTTCCATCATGTCATTTTGGTCTCCTGGATGACTCTATTTTATTCATTGACTGTGGTCAATGACTCATCTTAGTGGTCATCGTTTCACAGCTACAGACATCTGTAGGAATGTCTGTGGGAACGTCCTCAAAATGGCATTGCGCAAGGATCTCATTGATTTCTTGAATACACATTGTTTGTGTTCTTTCTCTAGCATGGTTTTATCTTCTTCCATAGAACACAGGTCTTTGTCTTAATTATCATATGGGAAAGCTCAGTCTTCCTCGAATGTTTCCAGAACTATCGATCCTAGAATCATTGAATATCTTACTTCCTTTTTATAGGCTTCGCCAATGTATTTCTCGTCATCATATAGGTCAAGTGGCTCGTCGCCTGGAATGTGGTTGAGAACAGACTCCTCATCGTTTAATTCCTTATCGAGTTCTAATTCATTTCAGATAGTGGCTAAGAATACTATGACATCTTCTTTTTCATACCATCTATTTCTTGTGACATGATCGTCTGCGGTAGTAGTAAGAAATCATTCTTCAGGCTCGATTTCGAAGTAGTTGTCCACCATGTAGGCCTCTTCTATAGTCCATCGATCCTCATTTCTTGGAGGTCTTTGTAAGTTTTCATCAAGACAGTTATACGGATCTTCTTTTTTGGGTTCAGCAAGGATGTTCTTAAGCAGGTACATGCACTTCCTTTTCTTTATTTTGTATTATTCTTTTTTGGTTAGATCCTACCAGGCTTCTCCTACTCCAAGGTGATAGTTGTGTCATATCCAGGGTCATAAGGATCATCTTCTGATTCTTCATAATTATCTCATTCCATTTCACTACCATTTCCATACCTATTCCAACTCATTTTATCATCCATGGAGTCGTCAACATCCATTTGATATACTTCTACTTCTTCATAGGTAGGTTGGTGTTCATACTCTGTTCACACTTTAAGCCACTTTAGAGCAGCCAGATCATCATTATTTGTCTTTTTAGGGGTTAACTTCATGGATTCCAGACATCGTGATAGAGCATCAGTATTACTATGAACTCTCCCTGACCGATGCTCGATGGTGTAGTTATATGGTTGAAGTAAAAGATCCATCTAGCCTTTTTTTCTTTGAGTTTGAAGGTTTAGAATGACTTTAATGCCAAATAGTCCATTACTACTATGAATAGTGTGAACTCAAAATAGTGGTGATAGTGCATGATCACCCAAAGTACCACCAAGCATTTTTGTTCAGTGGTCGAATAGTTTCTCTCAGCTTGGGTTAGACTTTGACTTGCATAGGAGATCATGTACTCCCTTCTTCCTTCTTTTTGGGTTAATAAGATGCCCAATTCTGTTCCTGAAGTGTCAGTATAGAGGTGGAATGTTCGATCGAAGTTTGGATATTGTAGTATTGAGGCAGTAATCAAATAGTTCTTAAGTATTTCGAAAGCACTGTTTTGTTCTTCTCCTCACTCATATTTGACATCTTTTTGTAGTAGCTGATGTAGAGGTCTGATGATAAAGGCGAATCCCTTGATGAACTGTCAATAATAGGAGGCTAAGCCTATGAACACCCTTAACTGTTGTATTGTCCTGAGAATGGAGAATGTTCTTATTTTCTCTATCTTGGATTTGTCAGGTCGAATCCCATTTCTTCTGACTATGTGGCCCAAGAGCTGAATTTCTGATTAGAAAAACTTGTATTTTTCCATGTTAAGTTTTAATCTGGCTTCATCTAACTTCTTGAATACCTTTTGTAGGTGCACCAGGTGTTCTTTGAACATCTTGGAGTATACATTGATGTCGTCTATGTATACTATGATGAATTTTCCCAAGTATTCTGCTAGGACTTAATCTATTAGCTTTTGAAACATCGCAGGGGCATTGCACAATCCAAACAGCATGACTTTAAATTTATAAAGTCCTGACTTGGTAACAAAGGAAGTCTTTTTCCTGTCTTTCTCATCCATCCTAACCTGCCAATATCTACTTTTCAGGTCCAGGCTTGAAAACCACCTTGTGTTTCGAAATTCTTCTAGCAAGTTGTCAATTCATAAAAAGAGATAGGTGTCTTTTCTCGTGATGGCATTCACCCAATAGTAATCAATGCAGAGTCTTAATTTCCCACCCTTTTTAGGTACTATTACAACAGGGAAGGCCCAGGGACTATTGGAACATGTGATTAATCCTTTTTCCTCTATGTCTTTTAGCTCCTTTTTGACAAATTCTTGTTCGTTAGAGGCGATGTAATACAGGTTTTACTTTATGGGTTTGGCATCTCCAGTATTAATTGTGTGGGTTAGTACCGAGGTTTCTTCCAACTCTTTTGTATCTTGCGTGAAGAGACCTTTCTCTTGACGAAAAAATTCCCGGGCTTGTTCTTGTTATTGGTCATTCAATTTTTTCATTTGGGCAAATTCCTCTAAGTATATATTAATACCATGTTTTGCGGGTCCTGGATCCTGGGTAGAGGTGTCTTCTACAACAGTTAAGTAAATGGCCGGGCTTTCAGCATCTGCCAAGGGTTATCGTATAATCCCCCCTCTTCAATCGCTGATTCCTCCATATAATAACCCTCTTTTCCAACAGGTCTTCATCCTCGTAAGTGATTTTATGAAAGTCTCTCCACTTTTGCTCTTATCATTCTCTCGAGTTGCAACTTGAAGGTCTCTATTGCCAGAATGAGATATCATGACTTCAACCATTTGATCATGATATCTCAAGTAGAGCCACCTTTTGTCAAAGTGTAACTGGGCTTGTGCTTTTAGAAACCAATTAGCAGGGTTTCATCCATTAACTCGATCACTTGGAGGGTGCTAGGTATTACTACCTCTTGAAGGGTGATTTTTATGTCATTGTTTTTCTCTGAAGCATGGGTTTTGGCACCAGTTGCTGTAATGACTACAATGAAGGACTTTTCTTGAATTTTTAAACCTAGCTTATCAACTAACTTCTTTGTTATTATGCTTACAGCAGCTTCGGAGTCGAGTACCATCATGACTGGGTTTCTCTTTATCTTCATGTAGCAACTAGCGGTGGTGGTTCATTTGTTGTTGTTGAATTTAATATAGGTGGCTTCTTGAATCGAAGGTAGAGGTCTGTGCAGGATTTTGGCCAAGTTTCATTGCTAGTTTGGATACTAAAGCATTTGATCTATGGTAGCTTTAGCCAGCATTGACAAGATATCATTAGCTACATTATATGAGATCAAGATATCAATGATTGATGAGTCTCTCTTACGTTGAGGTCTTCTTTCTGTAATGAACACATCATCTTCCATGTGATCAAGTCCTTTCTCCAAGTCCACCAAAGAATGCTCGTTGCTTCTCAAAGTCTTAGTCGTTTCTCTCAGTGTCTATCTGTTTGCTCTTGCACCCTTTTTCCTTAAGTTGTGCCAATAGCACTAGGTTGTGGTCTTCTTTCATCCACAATGTACACCTCGTCTTCGTATCATCAGTCATCATCATTCATATACTGATCAAGTCTTTCTGCGTAGTTACTAACTTTTCTTATTTCTTTAACATTTCTTTTAGGTTTTCTTTCTGATAAGCATTTCTGGGTGATATGTCCGGCCTTACCACAATTGTAACAGATGATTTCTTTTCTCCATCTGTTGTCATCATGTGGATTCCCTTTTTCGTCCTTATGTGGTTTTCAATGTTTCTCTTTGGTCAGAATTTCTTGATTTCTATAAGTAGAGGCAGGTAATTGAGAGCCATCTGCTCTACCTTCTTAGATAGATTCTCTAATTCCTTTTCAATCGATTTATGCTGGTTTTTCTGATAGTTTGCTTTCCATAATACTCATCTGCTTCTAATCTTCTTATGCTTATAATTGCCTTCTCTAGGTCTTCCAGTTCTGAGACAGCTACAAAAGTTGTGGTTTTTTCTCTTAGTCCACTTATTAACATTTGGATTACATATGTATCAGAGAGGTCATCATCTGAATCAACTCTCTTCAAGAGCTGCTTGAATTTAATGATGTAGGTATCAACCTTCTCATCCTTTCTTTGCTGGAGGTTGTTAAGTTTGATTTGCTATCTATGGCACTTCTCTGGAGTTGCAAAGAAGTTGATGAAGCTGTGGTAGAAGCTTTCCTTTTTGTTGTCTTCATTCTTCCAATCCTTCAGTTCATTCTTCTTTCCATTATGCCAATCGGTGGCAAGGCCCTTGAGATACTCAGATGCGATCTTCAGCATCTTCTTCTTAGTCCAATTGTTGGCCACTGAGGCTCTCTCAAATGTTTCCAACCATTCAATTGGGTTCTCATCGTCATTTCTGCAGAAAGGTTCGATCCTGACATGTGCTAATTCTCATCTATTCTTGGGATCTTTCTTTGAACTGCTATCATTGTAGCGACCCTGGTGACCGAAGTGGTTAGAGAGTTCAATAGCTTCTTAAGTTGGTCCTTATTCATGACTAAAGCAGTTTTTATAGGTATCAGAAAAGTAGTTTTATATTTGTTCTAGTTTTAGTGTTTCTTTTTAATTGCTTATTTCCTTGTTATAACTGTTATTCATTCATTTCTTTGATCAGAGGGGGGTAGTTGTCATTTCAGATCTCACAGTCACCACCAAATTGTAATCATAAAATTGTAAGTTAGTCACTAATGGTCAGATCTTTTATGTAACCTTTATGGTTGGTAAATTGGGTCGAAAGAGGCATATTAGATTTGGCAAGTGGTTAACTAGATTTTGGGATAGAGTTTTCTTAATCGTAGAGAGGTCAGAGTAGGTTATTTAAGATATGCAATCACACTTTTTGTACCTTACAGGTTAGGGACAGATTATAAATTATAGCAATGACAATTACTGTTTAATAAAGATACTCCGTTTACAAGCAATTTTACTATGAGTGTTTAAGCAATGTATTATGTATTATATATTCGCTAAAAGGAAGTTGTTCTTCCTGAAGGGCCTTATGGCCTTTATTTATAATTATCTATTTCTATTTACATTTTGCAATGCATACGACTAATGCTTCCTAAAAGCCTATTCTGACCGATTGCTGCTATCTGTCATATCTGTCATATGCGATCGATGCAACCTATTGGTCATATATAATGGATGTGACAAATGTGACAGATGCGATCGATCTTTTCCTAATTGGGATATGGTCCCCAAGGGTCAGTGTCCATTCGGGCTTATCTGGGTCCCACAACGAGTTCAGAAACAGGGCAAATGTGACAGATTGTTACTTGAAAAATAATTATGCCATGTAATGTTCCTTAAAGATATTAGAGGCAGTTTTTATGATTTGGCACAAGGTCAAGCGATCTTTCAAGAAGTGTTACTAGATAAGTATATAATTTAAAAGAACATTGATTTATTTTATAAGTTAAAAGGGTTTTATTAACTTTATTATTATTTTGTAGAGGTAATACAACTATAGGACTGTATTCTGGATGGATATGAACTCTACTTTTTGGGAGGAAAAATTCCACTCTTTTATAATGAATTGACCGCGAGAAGAGCACATACAAGACCATGACTCTTCTCATTGTTCTCACCATTTTCCAACCTTATTTGTTCTAACCTTTAACCTTTTCTACACAGTCTTTCGTTACTTTAACATTTCTCATGACCTTCATAGAACTAATGCGAAATATTTCAGTTTCACTATCTTAGGGCCAGAACCCATCATATTGTCTTCAATCGCACTCCTTTGAAATCACCTCACACCTAACCCAAGTAGGATAAGTGGAGTCAACATCTATTCCCAGCACGAACAGGTTGGTCCAGGTCAACCTTTCTTTATTTGAAAAGGGTGGTGGAGTCCCACATGGAGGCTTGTGTACTGTCATATAGCTTTTTTGGGGCTGGGTGCACATGTTTCAAATGGATCGTCATAGGCACCTCCAATTAGGTAAGTATGCCAAAATGATGTCCATTTTGCAGGTTCTATGGGGTGTCAGTTTTACCTTTGACACTAGGTGACACATAGTTGAACCTCAATTTTGATTGGCCAATAGCTGTGATTGACAAAATTTTGATCTGCATTATAACTATTTTGGTCAGAGTTTAGTTTTTTAATTGTTTAAGGTTTGGGTTTGCATAATAGTAAAATTATCTCAGTAACATATTTCACTTAGAGTTGAAAATTACATTTTACAAATTTACAATACATGTAGTTTCACAGAATATATAATACCTAGTGATGGACAAATCATAATTTTTCCAAAAATCCTTTGTGAGATTCATTAAATCACAAATTTTTAAATCCTAATTTCACTTAATAGGTGGTCATAATTTTTTTACTAAAAATTCAAATAATTTTGGTTAAATTTTTGATCATTGTCATTGGTCAACCAAAATAATGAATTTTCATATATATATTGCAAAGTTTAATAGTAATAATTACATAAAGTATATCCTTGGTTAAAGGTTTTATTTGATCTAATTTTTGTAAGATGATTCCAAATATTATTATTACTATATATGTTATTTATTTTTAACAGAGTGACTTAATTATAAAGAATATTTTTGTAATTTAAGTGAAAGATACCAATTGCAAAGAATGTAAATTCTAATTATATATATAAATAAACATATGTGGAAATAGTATGCAAATAAATAAATAAACTCCATAATATTTTATCATTAAATATACAACCTACATAGCCTAACAGATATTCAAACACAAAATCATATTTCCTTTTTCTAAATACAACTAAACAACCCACTAACAGTTCCATCTATAAAAATTCTATTATAACATCTTCATCAAGCAACACTCTTATCTAGCAACATTCTACATTCTTTAGATTATATACTACCTATCAAGTTTCACAACATCTTACAGCTCAAACTATTAGAACAGCACACCAACTTGGAATCAATATTTAAAACCTTTCTAATCCCTAGCCAATACTAACTATATACAAAGTTACCTCAATCAATACACTAATCAAACATTGTACTAAACCAACACAATTAAGTTACTAATCAATAAAGCAAACATTTATTCCATTGAACAACTTACTAATCATACAAATACACAGCTCCTTCTATGGCAGTATATTGTATACAAAATATAAAAAATACCAATAAGAAGAATTTTTAAGCAGTTTCAGGAACTTCAATATATCTTTTATGCAACTACCATACTATATATCTTTACAATTACTCCTAACCTATTTACTACAAATTCTATAACACTAAAGAGAAGCACCTGGATTCTCAGCAAAATTAAAAGTATAATAATCATAAGAAAAATACAAAAAATTCCCAATACAATCAACATAATATATATTAAACATTATCAACTTTCACTACAAGAACTACAGTATATTGCACTAGTTACTAAATGTTTTCAATATAAATATTTCTATATTACCAATACTAATTAGCAATGTATAATTACACTTACTATTTTCCAATACATTGTGATTAAAGTATCTAGCTCTAAAGTTTTTTGAACAGATATTAACAATCTAATATAGTATTATTATAACTTAATTTACAGACTGCATTATATTCAACAAAGAAAATATCATCTTGAAACCTACCTACTAGTTCAGTTACTCATCAAAATTTACAACTACCTACTATCTTAATTATTTAAAACAATTTATTTAACCAAATATTCTTACCAAGCACTGCTTGTATATAACTATTTTATCTTACTACTATTAACTCATAGGCCAAACAACTCTAACTATATCTTTATATAACTATAATTCAAGCAAATACATCACAATCACAGGC